CCTTCTTGCATTGTCTCACACATGAGCTTTTGGGGTATACTTCAATTCCAAATCAAAACACACCTGCTCCTCTTATGTAACCAATTTTTTAACCACAAAGGACAAGATTTTTTTTTCTTTAGTTCCTGATGGAAAAATCCCAGAGGAGGATTTTGATGGGTTCCTTTCAGTCATGTTCCCACCCCTAGAAAGTCCCTGTATTAAGGGAAGCAAGATCATATGAGAAGAAGAAAATCCCAACACCCAGTCACATGGTTTGGATGGGAGGTAAGCTCACACTTGTTCAATACAGGTGGATCTGGAGTTCAGGAGTTTTTAATTGTTCTATCTTTTCCTCTTGGATAGGTTATTGTAAGATAACTTGTTCATTCACCAAATATTTATCTATCTAGAGTACATCCTGCCCTTGGAAAGGTTCAGTAGACTAGCAGAGGAGATAGAGAGAAACACTTGAGTTTGGGAAAATGTAGTCCTCCAGGTCCAGCTGATGTAGCTTTCCCTCAATTTCTGCTCTTTAGGAATGACCTAGAAGTCACATACATGAGTCACTTTCTCCCCCAGGAGGGTTTAACAGGAGTCATAGCCTCAATCTCTAAGTGGGTTGTTCACCTACTCCCCAAAGACCTGTCTGGGTGGTTCAATGAGGTGGTATCAGTTGCAGGTCTCTGGTAGGAAGTAGTTAATGATTCAAAGAAGCCAATGAGAAAAGTTTAGCAAAGGGACTAAAGGGAAGGTGAGATGGGATTAAGGAATCATCCAGCATGGGAACTGCTTGAAGTTTAATAATAATGGAAAATTATTTTGACTCCTATCCCTAAAGAGGAGAGAGGATAGGAGTAGTTATTAAGTTGATGGACAGCTGGAGGAGAGGGCTGCTGGACATGAACTATAACTTTCAGCAGGGAAGGCAGCCACTGCCAAACTGTTGTTGTGTGGAGGAAGCACTGCTCTCTCCTCTGACTCCCTGAGTCAGTTCCCTCCCTTGGATCAGACCCAAGGGAGTGCAGGTGACATGGTCTGCAGAGACCAGCTTCCTGTGGAACAGAATTGCCTCTGACCATGGATCTAGGGTGGGTCTAGAGAATCTTTTAGAGAATGACAAGCAGAGATGAGTAGTCTCAATGAGGTGGAAGTAGATATCAGAATGGAGAATGAGGAGGATGTGAGAGTATGCAAGAACATTTCTGAAGAATATAGACTTCTCCTCTCCCCCCAAAGATTAAATAACACTGATCACAATAAATAAACCTGTAACAGGAGAATGTCAAATAAGCTAGCTGATGGGGAAGGTCATTTGTACATTTATGCATTCATCAATCATCAAAGGTTTATTTGCACCTCTAGGCATCAAGCATGAAAAAATGGATTCTAGACATTTGAAAATTTTTGTAATAAGATGTTGGGAAAATGGATTATGCAGGGTCACTGTCTTCAAGAATCTAATTTTCTGGAGCAGCAAGGATTCCTGGAGGAATGACTGCAGAACTGATGGTGGGTAAGAGTCAGAAGGTTGGAGAGTGGAAAAGCACATTGTAGGAGAGGTATTGAGTGGGTGTGAGAGCACTAAGAGATGAACTGGAAGAGGCAAGAATCTTTTCTAAAGTTCAAGATTGCATTGTCAGATTTGCTTTTAGAAAGATCCCTGGATCATCAGGGCAAAGATAGCTTGACAGAGCTAAAAAATTCAGAAATAAAGTCAGAGATATAAATGTGGAGGCCAAGATGAGCAATAGTTATTCATAAAATGGGGATATGAATGACAGCAAGAGGACCAAAGGCAAAGAGGGGCCAGTTTCAAGAGAGGCCCCAGGAGAAGAAGTCACAGGATACAGGACCTAAATGGCTGTGCTGTTAGGGAGGGGGGATGTTCTCCAGTTGTTTGCCTTCTTCATACCCCATCTGCTTTTTTAGCTGACAGAATCCAATTTTTCTTTGACAGCAGTACCGCTACTTGCACAACTGAATGTGGTGTCCATAGAAACTACCACTCACCTATTCTTGTTTTCTCTGGCCAAAACTGATGGCATGACCCAAGCCAGGCCAGTGGGTAGGTAGCTTCTTCCTGGGAATTTGGAAATCTGACTTAGATCTAGTCATTTGAAGCCTCCTTCAGTTTTTCCTGATTCTGTATGCAACCTAAGGCCTTATTCAAAGTTCTTTTTTTTTTTTTTTGGTGGTGGGAGGGTGGGGGTGGGGGTTGGCATCAATGAGTTATAGTTGTTTTCTCTTGTGTACAACCAGAAAACCTCAACTGATAATGGTGGCTATGTGAATGGTGGTACCTCACACAGACAGACAAAAAACAGGTGGAGGAGAGAGTTTGCGATGGATTTTCATGGGGAAATGGGCGGGTAGTTTGCTTTTCAACAGCCTGTGGAAAATGAAAGAGAAAAATCCAAGAGCTAGCTGAGGAGCCCTTTGTGGGACTCTGAAAAATCACACCACGGAGTATGAAGTTATCTTTGGCAGTTGGACATAGAAAGTTCTTCCCAAGAGCCTGACCTCTTTAGCATTTACCCAAACTTGTCCAGGAGAGCCAACTCTTCCACCAGGAGGCTGACACTCTCTGAAGATGCCCAGCATCAGGCTGGGGAGTGGACAGACCCTTTCGTTCTCAGCACTGGGAACCCTAAGTCCTAGCCAGGGCTCTCTTAGTAATTAGCTGGGTGTTCTTTCAAACATACCCACCTCTCCCTGAAACTCAATTTTCTGAGGGTTGAATTATATTTGGGATTCTTAAAGTATGTTCCAAGAAAATTTTACATTAACATGAAAAGGGGGCAAATGTACTGAGAAACTGGCTTCAACAAACCTTCAACAGGCTTCCTTACTTTAGGACTTCTCAGGGTCTTAAACATACTCATCTGTGATGCAAATCTTTAAGAGGGGGACTTTGATCTTTGCCCAGGGAAACTCCATCCCCACCCCCACCATGAAAAGACATGTGGAACCCGAACCTGTAGTCATCAGAATATAAATGCTGGACAAACAATCCATGATTCTGTGTAGCCAGGTGCTCTGTACATCTCCTGTCTTTCCCACTTGGCCCTTCTTTAAAGATGACTGACTCTGAAGGACCCCTGTGATTTGTTCTGAACTGCTCCCAGGAAACAGCACATTCGAGTGCCTATGAAATCACTTAAAAATCAGGCTCATGAAACCCTCTAGCAACTTAAATGGAAACAGCCCCCCACTGTGCTGAGACCCAGGCCCAGCCTGAAGGGGGTTGACAAACATGCTCTAGCATGCATGCATTTGCGAAAACAAAGAAAACCCTACCCTTTTCTGCTCCAGACAGTCTGAGATGCTTTTGTGCCCTTGGGCTCTTGCCCGGATCTCTCATCTGCCTCAGTCCTGGTACTAAATTGGTTCAAGGTTTGGAGGAAAGCTTCAGAGGAAAGGGGAAAAGGATGTTTAGAGTTCTTAAAGGCTGAAGTCACCCTAAGGACCAGAGCCTAGACCCTCTCTGGCCACCAGAGGGCGATGACAACAGCATGTGGGCAGAAAGAAACTGTTCCCAAGAATAACAGCAGTTAAACTACACCTAATATGTTAATGAATATCGTAGGGACTGGAGTGCCTATGGGAGTGTGTGCACATGCGTGTATGTATATTTGGGTGCCTGGATCTAAGACTCTGAAAATCTGCTAAGTATAATAAAATAAAATCTGCACCTCTACTATATATTTATAGGATGTAGTCAAGTAGTTGGAAGTTTCTTTGAAGGAAAATGAGGAAGAAGGAATCAGAATACCATTCATATGAAAGAAAAAGGAGGGGCCCTCAGGAGCACAGTTGCTGCCCTTGTGTGTGTGAGTGTATGTGCAAACACACAAGTGCACATGTGTATATGTTGTGAATGTGAGTGGGTGTGTTTGAAAGTGTGACTGTGTGTGTGTGACTGTGTGTGTACTCAGGGCTCATTCAGACTTTTCCAGTGTGAGTGGACCTCAAGGAAGTCTGGGCAATACTTCCTCAAGTTCCTGCCCTTTCCCTTCAAACAAACAAACAAAATCATTCCTGCAAGTATTTATGGAACCTCTAACGCGCCCCTCCCCAGCAGCATCTGGAAAAGCTCAGACCGCGCCAATTTAGAGCGGGCAAGGGAAGAATGAAGGCAAAGCTTCAGGGGAGACGAGATGGATGTCCAGCATGCGAATAACTCTTGCAAAAACACTTTCCTTTCTTTAATGCTCTAGGCAACTCGGAGCTGGGTCCAGACTGAGCTGTGGCCACCTGATTTGAGGAAACAAAGGGTCACCAATTACGCGATTGGCCCAGAGTCACCCGACAGGAGGCAGATGCTCCAAGGACTCTGAACCTGCTATTGTCAATTCAGGGGTCCAAGTCCCGCCCTCACCACTCTCAGCAGCATACCAGGCATTAGTTGGGTCTGGGCAAGGCAGGACAGGCCTCTTCCGCGTTTTCCAGCAGCGACCTCAACAACAGGGACCACCATTTTTAGTAACACATGTGATTGTGCAGTGTCAATAAGTCCTGTAGGTAGCAGTTGAATCTCTGCCAAGAGTACTGGGTGAAGTGGGGACGAAACTTTCGTTGGGGGGGGTGCCAGGATTTTAGCTACGCTAGTGGTGTGACCTTGGGAAATCACTTCTCTGAGCTTTGAATTTTTATTGGTAAAACGAGGGTGCTCAGAAGCCCCCTTTCGAGACTGTGCTGGGATTTAGTGTCCAGCTCACTGCTTAGAACAACAAAAACAACAACAACAAAAAGAGCTCCCAGCCCTATGGTCATTAGTTCCTAAGGGGGAATCAGTTTCAATGTTTCTTTCCCGGGGCCGAGCCCCTTTCCTTCCTCGGTTCCTTCCCTCCAGCTCCTCTGCTGCCTCCTCCCTCCTGGCTCTGGGTCGCTCCAGCAAAGTTCCCAACTTAGTCGACATGACGCGCGGCGCAGCCAATGGGAGGCGGAGCTGGCATTTTGGGGGGGCAGGAGGGTGGGCCCCGCGTCTCGGGTGTCTGCCCTGCTCAGTGAATGAAGAGAGCGAACGCCGGCCAGCTCGACTGGCCGCCCCGTACCCCGGCCGCCGCCGCCGCCGCCGCACGCCGGAACCCATCCCCGAGCCAACCTCCCCAGGCGCCGTGCCCCACCGCGCTCACTCCAGCTCCCCGACCCAGCGCGCAGCCCGAGCGGCCGGCACGCGGGCCAAAGGACGTCCGGCACCTGGGCACTTGGAGCGATGCGCAGCGGGGCAGCTCTGGCCCCTCCAATGGAGCTGCTGCCGCCGCCGCCCGGCGCGCCCCGCTCCTCCCGCGCCCCGTGCGCCTGAGCGCCGCGCTCGCCCCTCCTCCGCGCCAACTCCACCGCCCGCTCCCAGACCGCCCGCGCTCCCCGCGCGCCTGCTCGCGCTCCCCGCGTCCTGCCCCGCCGAGGCAGCCTCCTTTGGGAGCGGGCCCCTGCGCACCATGGCCCCCGGGCGCTCAGGGGCCGGCGCCGCCGTGCGCGCCCGCCTGGCGCTGGCCCTGGCGCTGGCTAGCGTCCTGAGCTGGCCCCTAGCCGTCGCCTGCCCCACCAAGTGTACCTGCTCCGCCGCCAGCGTGGACTGCCACGGGCTGGGCCTCCGAGCGGTTCCCCGGGGCATTCCCCGCAACGCCGAGCGCCTGTGAGTACCCCGCCCCGCCCTGCACGTCCACCCACCTGGGTAACACAGAGGGGCCCTTGGGCGCTTGATCCTTCCTTTTCCCCTCTGCCGCGCTGGATGCAAGTCTGTTTTCCCTGACTCCTTAATCAGATGCCTCGTTCTCTGAGTTGGGGGACTGTGGCTTGGGGCAGGTGTGGAGAGAGAAGTCTCAAAGCCCCCGCGATGGGCAGAGAGCGATACATCTCCGGGAGTGAGGGCCCCAGAGGCAGGGCCCGCTGACAGCTTGCGAGAAGGACGCTGACACAAGGCGAGGGAAGGAGAGAACATTGCAGTCTGGAGATCTTGGGGTGGTGTAAGGGGTCCTTCGCTCGTTACAGAGCGGGGCTAAGGAGAAAGCTTTAGTGATGGGGCGTCAGGACGCGGAGACGTTGGAGAGGGCCCCAAGACTGTGACCGATTTGGAGACCAAAATGGGCCAGCTGCTCTCTGGCTGCCCTTGCAAGGAAAGTTGAGTGTGTATGAAGGTCTAACTTCTGAAGAACCAGACGGATTCAGAGTGGGTGATCGCAAAACCCGCCCTGTTGGAGTGCAGCCTCGGAGATGCCAAGTTGCAGCCCTGGTGAATTTTTTATGGCTAGGTTATAAATGCCTCCCCAAACGGGCTGGAGAATGGAAATGCTGACAGCCCTTTAAATGAGACTGAGCGCTATAATCTTACAAACCGCACTCAGCTTCGGATCCTGGGCTTGGCAGCTAGTGGAGAGGAGCTTGGAGAGGGGGGTGGATTGACCCTAGTTTTAACCCCAATTGTGCAACCAAATATTTACTTTTCATATGTCAACGTTTTGGAAACATTTATCATTTTGATCCTCAGACCAAATTCAAAACTTGGACTCCAGGGTGGGCTCCTCTTAGTCCACATTTGGGGTGGGGTGGGGAAGGAGGGAGAAATAGGAGGGAGTGGGAGTTGGCCTGGGAACCCAGCTGAGGAGTGGGTGAGGGTTTGCCCTAGAATGGCAGACTCCCTGGATGGCTGGCTCTTCCTCCCTTCTCCTCCACGTGTCTTAGGGATGGGCCATTGAGCTTTCCTCTGGCTCTTGACTGGGTTGGAAGGGACTGGAGATGGGATGAACTGCCCCAGAATGTTTACTCCTGTTAGTCACCTCCTATCACCCCACCTCCTTATCTCTTCCACTTTTTGTGTCACTCTGGGCAGAAACTCAATAGAAATTACTTTCTTGTTCCTACTGCTTTCCTTTGGCTTGAAATATTATTTTTCAAGTGCAAGGATTGTTCTGTTGGGTTGAAACATACAATCCTAGAGGGCTAGAGCTGAGTCTTCATTAACATTTAGAAAATCAGGCCTGGAAATGTGAAATGACTTGCCCAGGGAAACACAAGTTGGTGGCCATAAGAGGGTCAGAATCCAGGTTTATGCACCTTTGTTCAGATATTATAATAGACCATATCAATGAAAAACTCGTTTTAGTGGTATTTTTATGGCATGAGTTAGTGAAGTAATAACTATAGTTCACATTCAGGAGCACTTCTTCTGCCTCCATTTGCGTATGTGTATTATGTCCTTGAATCTCTACAAACAAACAGTGCTCTTAGTTGCACAGGTAGTGCTTATTACTCCATTTTACACTCTAGCCATCTTGTCGGTTATTCCAGGTTGCATAGCTAAAGTATTTTGAGTCCAAGCCTGTCTGGCTCCCGAGCCCGCAGCCCTTACCAGTCTGCTGACTCCTGGAACCTGGCTCCATTTAGGCCAAGATTTATCTGCACATACACAGTCCTGGGAGGGTCTAGGTTGGGCTTGCATCTTAGAAGAAGCTGCTGCCGCTGCTGCTTCCATATATCCTAAAAACACTCAGCTCATCCTGACATTCGCTGTCCCACTTGGGTTCTTGAGACTGCGCCTCCCCCATATTCATAATCATGTGGCATGTTTGGCAAACTGAGGAAAGTGGGCCCCTCTCCTTCTGGTGTGTAGGAAGTTTTCAGAATCTACAGGCATGGCACCACAGCTAGGGTGCCATTCAGCCACCTCTGCCAGGAGACCCAGGCAGCTCAGAGCAGGCCATCTGCTCCACAACTGGAGAAACAGTGAAGACAGAATCCTGGGCATTCCCAAGGGCCTGCTGCCACAGTTGGTCATTGACAGGCACTGGCAGAAAGTAGGAGCTGCTTGAAGATACCTGCATCTCATCTGGCTCAGTTCTGGTCACTGGTGACACTTTGGCTACTGTACAAGGGGGTAGTGGGGCTGCCAAGGCTGGTCTGTTATCTGGTCTTTTTCCTTCTTAGAATTGGGAGGCAGCCTTTAGGATCAAGCTGGATCAGTGTCAGCGCTTCAACAGCCCTTCACTCTCAACCCCATCTCAGTGAGCTCAGACACAGCGTTCCATTCTGCATACACTTGAGGGCTGTTTAATTCTAGCGCTATGCTGAGGACTTCTTCAGTGAGGACTTTCTCATTCATTCTTCCCTTCATTCATTCACCAAACATGTCTTGAGCTTCTACTGCATTCCAGTAACTGTCAGAAAACCACTGCATATACAGAAGGAAGCCAGCCCTGCAACTTAAAGAATGTAAGCAAAGGGTGGAGGAAGGAAACTTCCTTAGATGAGCCTTTTAAATTTCTCAGGGCTCATTTTGTCAGGGGTACCAATTTTGCCAGCACAGCCAGTGGATGCTCTGGACCTTCTGAAAATCCAGTGTGCTGATTTCAGATGTTGAAATTGTGCTTTCAAACAAAGAAGAGGCATTTCCTCATTCTCCATTCCTGCTGTCCTGCCTCCCAAAGAGCCTTTTATGAAGAGGTATGTGTGTGTGGTTGTTTCCCTGGATTCTTTTGGCTTTCAGAAACCTTGTGGTATGACATTAGGGAAAACCTGAGTGGGGTGAGTCTCCACTTGGACTTAGTTTTACACCTGGCATGGGGCCTGAGTGGTTCCTAGTTCAGCTGGTATTAGAGTTGGGGATCTGTGTTCCATAATGTTAGCGTATCACATGGAAAAGGAACTGTGTCTTTATAGACTACTGATGATTTTATTTTTCCTCCTCCATGAGGAGGTGACACCCACAAAAAAGCTAAATAAACAGAGTGGAGAATTCAGTGTCATTTGTTGTCTGTGCAGCAAAGACAGAGGCTCTGAGAGGGGAGGGAGAGTCCATGGCAGTGCCTAAAACAAAACATTTACCACGGAGCACAGAGCAAACAGATGTTGCGTTTACCCTTCTGAGTACAAACGGAGCCTACAGATGTAATTCTTATCCAACCACAATGTCAGCCTGGAAAAAGAGACCGCACATGAAAATGAGCTCTCACGCAGGGCCTCATCTCCCTATCCTGCCTCTGGGCAGAGGCCCAATTCTCACCTACGGCGAGGTGGTGGCCTCAGCAGTGGAGTTGGGGCAAGAGTGGACATCTTTGGTTTTTCGCTTGGCTCCAGAACATGCTGGAGACTGCTGTATTTAAATAAACATTTCCTGTTTGCGAAGGAGAACGGCGAGAGGCTGAAACGTGAGAATGTGGTAACTTAATTTTCTCCATCACTCCAGATGACGGGGAACTTTGCTGGTGGTTGGGTCCAATAAAAACCGACACCGTGTCATAGGCTTTCCCTCACTTGACCACAGAGGTCCCGAGGTCAAGTGGGAGACTTTCCAAGATGCTCAACAGCCAAGCCCTGTGTTCTGATACTTCCAGGCCTCAGGGCCAGCTCAGGGGACCAAGGACAAGCTGGTGAATCATGGAGCCTCTCTGGGTCAACTGTGATGTGGACTTTAGGGAAGCGCAGTGTTCTCCTAGATGGCTTACTGAGCAGCACATACACCTGCCTCCAGGGTGCTAGGCAATTTTTGGAAGAGATTGCTGCAACTCTCTGGGTTCTTTCAATGATTATTCCTTCTATCTTTCCCAAAATACCCCCTTTTATTGATTTCCTATGTCTGCCTTTCATTTTCCTGAAAGTAGAATTCCAGTTTAGTCTTACTGATTTTCCAGATATAATCCACCAGTGAGCTGTCAGAACCTTCTTCCTCAGTGCCTAGAACAATATCTAGCATTTAGTAAGTTTTCAACAAAAATGTGTTGAATGAAGGGCTTATAAGCCTTGAAAATACAAATATTTTATAGGTTTTAAAGGGAGAGGTGGGCAGTTACAGATTTGCATTTTAATGAATGGCTAAGGGTGACTTACTGGTAACCAATTACCTGAGATAGTAAGGTTATCTAAAATTTGGATTTCATGAACTAAAAAATCATTGCCTTACTAGCATGACCAAAGAAAGACTCCTACTGAGTGATGCTCTCTGCAGTCTGGTTGCCAGGAGTTGCTTAGCAACCTTGCAAAACTCCTACTGTGCACATGCCCATGAAAAAACACAGGCTATCTTGAACACTTAACCAGGAGACTTTCTAATCAGGGCTTTCTGAGCATCATCCTGTGCTCTCCTCAGGTTCCGATTGCTTCTCTTGTATTAATTGATATGTATTGGTAGGATCATTATTGAGTTTTGCTTTTGCAGATTATCTGAGTTTTCTATTACTGCTTTTTTTTTTTTTGCATTGCATTCTATTTCCATTGTTATTTTGTTTGTCTCCAGATCTGTTTGTTGTCACTGAGTTCTCTTCGCCCTCGAAATGAAAATGAAAGCAGCGTAGGACTGTGGGACCCTTTGCCTGGACTCTAAGAAGGGCCAGCGTTCAAAGCCCTGTGGAGGTAGTCTGGGCCTGGTCCCTGGAGGCAGCCTACTTTGGGTTTGAATTCCGGCTCTGTTGGCACACTCAGTGTGTTACTGCATTGCTCTGGATTGCAGTCTATTTAATCCCTTAGTGCCTCAGCTCCACACCTGTAATGCAGGGCAGATCAGCATGTAGGGGTGTTGTGGATGTAGCCTGAGGCAATCCAGGCAGAGCACTCTGCACGGTGCCTGCCACACTGTTGGCTTGTCATGGTCACTGTGATTGTTTATCCAACTCTGAAGCATGTATCAGAAACATTCCTATTTGG